CTTAAAGTTTTTTTCTTCCTTTTCTTTTAATTCTTTAATTTGATCAGCAATTTCTTTGTGTTTTTCATGTTGAACCATTTCGTTAGCAGTATGAAAAATAGTTTGTCCCCAATTCTTTTTAAAAGTTTCAGCTTCTTGAGTAACTTCTATTACATCTTGTTGAAGTTCTTGTTCAGCTTTTTGAAAAGAACTCCATAATCCATCACCCACAGCACCTTTTTGTACTAAAGAAAGAAGAGCTGGACGATTCTCCCTAAGTTTAATTATTCTTTCAACATTTGTCATAGCTCTACGTAATAACGCAGCTCTTAGTTGTAATTCGGTAGCTGGAGGATCAGTTTGTTGTAATAGAGAAATATAAGTATCTCGAGTTGTGTGATCGGGAAACCACGGTACAAGAATCGCTGATGCTAAAAAATATCCCATGGAAATAAAATAAAATAAAATAAATTTAGATTTTTTTTTTTGATTTCCTGTGTTTTAAAACCGGATCTTTTGTTCTGATTGTTACTATTAAAATCAAATTTTATTACCAGCTTTTCGTCTACGCCATGTATAAGAAAATAAGCTCATCACCATTAACATTCCTCCTACATAGACAACAGTAACTATCCATGACGACATTATTTGATTTTTTTTTAATTTATAAAAAAAAATATATTTATCAAATATCAGCTAGACGAAAATTCCTCATAAATAACTTCTGAATAAAAAAAAATCAAAAGAATAATAATGATAAAAGATCGAAGTAAATTATTCTTTTTTTTTCTTTTTTTTTTATGATTGTTTTTGATGTGGAGAGGAATTAAAATAAATTTCAAATAATGCCACGTTTCGAAATTTTATTAGGTCATATTCGTCGATTGGTTTGTGTAATATCAAATGATTATTTGATTATTTGATCGACAAATCTAAATTATTGTCATCCCCGATTTGGTTACACTTAGGACTAAGTTAGTGAATCATCATCCAATAAGTTATGTATGATAAGTATGAGAATTATATTAAATAATGATAAATATTCACATTTTGTGTTATCAGTTATAAAATAATAATTCTAATAAGAATAAAAAATCGCTAAAAGAAATAAAAGTGATCTTTATATCTTATGCTTTCAGATAAAGATAAATTATAATAAGAATCAAATTTCAATAATTAAATATCAAAATTAAATATAAAATTCTATTGACATTATTCTTTTATTAAGAAATATTAATCAATTTAAATAATTTTAAATTGAAAGTTAATGACTTTTAATAATAAATATAAAGAAATATTAAATTACACCTTTAATTAATAATTTTAATTAATTATTAATGTGAATCATTTTTATTTAAATTAAATATTTAATATAAATGCT